TCATTTAAAGAATATTTTTAGTTTTTCGGTGGATTCTAAAAAGTATTCTTCAATATTATTTTGATTATTTAATTCAAAATATTGTTTTGAATTTGATGGGTTAAATTTGAAAAATCCTCTTATTGCTTTCCGTTGATATTTTGGTTTTCACTAAAATTGGATTTGATATTCAAATTAAAAAGAAGTAATTTGCTTGGAATAAATCAAGGTTTATCTTTATATTTATGATAAAGTCTCACAAACTTTGGAAAGAAAAAAACTTTCGGATTCGATGTGAGGCAATTTAAGATTAAGATTTTTTCATTCATTCCCATCCAATCAAAAAAATACATTTTTGTAATTTATTTCCAAATTTGAATCAACCGGAAGATAAAAAAGATCATTATTATGAATTTTATCCTTTATTTGGTCCTTATTAGGTTCAACCTTAATATTTTTATTAATTTTATACAAAAAAATTTATCTTTATTTTTTTCCATATATATAATATCGATTTTTCCTAAATTACTCTTGCTAGGAATATTCTTGAGTATGCTAATTTTTTTTTCTGGTGGAATTTTCTTGGTTATTATTTGTTTCTAATGATTATCTATAAATATAGTAGTTATTTTTAGTTTAAGAATGAAAATATTTATATGATAAAAGATTATATCTATAGTTTTTTTTTTAAAATTACCCTCTTTATTTGGTAATAAATAAACTTTTGAATTTTGTTTTTTTTTGAATCAAGTAATTAGTCTTTTTCAGAGGAATATCATTTGTTTAAATCTTTATTTTGAGACGTCTGGCATTGGTTGATTCTATTTCGCCATTTTTGGGGGATTAATCTAGACGATGTAATATGAGATAAATCGTATTGATAATGACATCTTAACCAATTTTTCCATGGATTCATTCCATAAATTGGAAGTCTATTATGCCTTAATTCGGAATGAAATATGCATTGTCTTCCAAAAAAATCATTTATTTTAATCTTAAGAAAAAAAGACGGTCCATTATATTGAAGAATAAATCTTAACTTATTGAAGTTAATAATCTGCGTTTGTGATAATTTGAAAAATACATATTTTTGTGACACGTAAGATAAAAAAAAGTATATCTGACTTCCGTTTCCTATTTCTAAGATTATCAAAAGCCCTTTTTATAGTCATAGACAAAACAAAATCAATTTTATTTTGTTTTGTTTTATTAATCCTTTCTTGATTTGTTTCATTATTGTTAATGTATTTATCACTATCAATAATTTTTTTTGTTGATTTGATAAAAGTTGTAGAGGGATTCTGCGCATATTAATGATTCATAGAAAGATCTCTATGAATATTTTTTCAATGAAAATTTTAACTAATAATTCAACATTTTATATTTTAATATTTTCAAATTTTTTTGGGATGATTCTGTATTATTAATTTTATTTTTTTTCATTATTTCTATTTCATTTCTGATTGTCTTTCTTCTATCAATCCTATGTTTCATTTCTTCTTCTGCCTGTGAATAATTTGTCCAACCTGTAGATCGAATTTGACTAAGTGATTCATGAATTATCTGATTGCTGATTATGGAAAATGAATATGCCCTTAAGGGTATATACGCTTAGGTATTCAAATTCACCATACCACGTCGTCTTGTATCATATAATACATTCTAATTGTCCAATGTTCTTATAATTTAACTTCTAATTTGATTTACTTCCATGATTTTTATAAATTACACATTTATCTTCATTTTACATAATTTTCATTTTCAACAACAATATATATAACCTAGTAGGTGGTCGGCAAAAAGATGTGATGTAAGAGGAAGGTAATAGTGAAATTTCGAAAATCTTGAAAGTAAATCAAGTTAGTGGTTGAAGTTTAAAAACATTATAATGAATATATCAAACAAAACGACATATTATGGTGTGTTTGGGTACCTAAGCTTATATACCCTTAAGGGTATATTCAGACACACGAGCATTACGTGAGATCACATAATATATTAGAATTCCGTTTGAAATTTATGCTTTTGACGAAATAGATGGTCAAAAATTATCTTTGTACTATTAACATTTTTTTTTTATATTTTTTATGGGATCCGGACCCATCAAACTAAAAGTATTTTTCTAAATTCATTATTTCAAAACTCGACAAATTTTTTTAATATATTTTTTAAACCAAAAGGTTTGGTCAAAACAAACTTGTTTTAATCAAATACCAAACCATATTTTTATTATTTTATTTTCATTTCATGATCATGATTCCGGTAATATTCTGTTGCTATACAAGCCAAGTCACCATGATATATTTATTATTTAGTAACCTGCCAAGTTCAAAAAATAACATTTTTATAAAAATAATGACTTTTAGAAGAAATATTAGAATTAATTACAAATAAAGTGAATAAATAATGTTTTTATTTGGTTCTACAAGGTTTTTGCGCCAATATAGAAAGAAGCTAAAGAGAAAAAAATATTATCACTGTGTCCAAACACTCCTTATAGGCTCCAGCCTAAAACCCTCTTCCCTCCATCTCTTCAAAAACCACCACTCTTTGGAGGGAGATATCATCTCACAAAACCGCCGCCGGATAACCACCACCGCTGCATCCATGGCGTCTTCCGTCAATCGTCCTACCGATCTTGAATTGGCTCAGGTAGCGGCCATCCTCGGTTCCGACAACTCACAATTCGAAACCCTAATCTCCCACCTCATGTCCGCCGCCAACGACCAGCGTTCACAAGCCGAAACCCTATTCAACATATGCAAACAGAATCATCCAGATACCCTCGTCCTTAAGCTTTCTCAACTCCTCCATTCTTCACCTCATGCCGAAGCTCGTGCTATGTCTGCCGTTCTTTTGCGCCGCATCCTCACCATCGCTTCCGATGAGTCTCAATCGCAAACTCTGTACCCTTCTCTTTCGCCTACCACCCAATTAACCCTGAAATCAACCTTGCTTGAGTCCGTTACTAGAGAATCATCTAAATCTATATCCAAAAAGCTATGTGACACTGTTTCCGAGCTTGCATCGTTGGTTTTGCCTGAAAATGGATGGCCGGAGCTTTTACCTTTCATGTTTCAGTGTGTTACATCTGGAAATCTTAGGCATAGAGAGAGTGCTTTGTTGATTTTTGCACAATTAGCTCAATACATTGGAGATACACTTGTGCCTTATCTAGACACTTTACATGCTGTTTTTCTAGGATGTTTAGGTACAGGGACAGATCCCGATGTAAGAATTGCAGCCTTAAGTGCTTCAATCAATTTCATTCAGGCTCTAGAGGAAGCCTCAGATAGGGACAAACTCCATGATTTGTTGCCTTTAATGATGCAAACATTAACAGAAGCATTGAACTCAGGGGAGGAGTCCACTGCACAGGAGGCTATAGAGTTGCTAATTGAATTAGCAGGTACAGAACCCAGGTTTTTAAGGAAACAAATAGCCGAAGTTGTGGGTGCAATGTTGCAAATTGCAGAGGCTGAAACTCTAGAAGAGGGAACTAAGCATTTGGCAGTTGAGTTTGTGATTACTTTGGCTGAAGCTAGGGAGAGGGCACCAGGGATGATTAGGAAGTTGCCACAGTTCATTAAGAGATTGTTTGAGATACTGATGAAGATGCTATTGGATGTTGAAGATGACCCTGCTTGGCATAGCGCTGAGGTTGAACATGAGGATGCAGGGGAGTCTAGCAATTACAGCGTTGGTCAAGAATGCTTGGATAGACTTTCAATGTCTTTGGGTGGAAATACCATTGTTCCTGTTGTCTCTGAGATTTTGCCAGCTTATTTAGCTGCTCCAGAGTGGCAGAAACACCACGCTGCACTCATTGCATTAGCTCAAATCGCAGAAGGGTGTTCAAAGGTACTGCTTTCTATGTAGATTAATTTTGATATTGTTTTGTAGTGAAATCGTTGTGTTATTATTGTAACTTATTCTTTTTGTTTTCTCATCGATTCAGGTCATGACAAAGACCTTAGAGCAAGTTGTGTCAATGGTGTTGAACTCATTTCAAGATCCTCACCCTCGTGTTAGATGGGCAGCCATCAATGCAATTGGTCAACTGTCAACAGACTTGGGCCCAGACTTGCAAAACCAATATCATCATCTTGTTCTTCCAGCACTAGCTTCAGCAATGGATGATTTCCATAATCCACGAGTTCAGGTGAGTAAAGATACTACTAATGAGTAATGATATGTTTTTATCTTTAGATATGTATTTGTAGATTTCATTGTTGTATGCATGTTTTTCAGGCACATGCTGCTTCAGCAGTTCTCAACTTCAGTGAAAATTGTACATCAGAGCTTCTACAACCTTACTTAGATGGGATTGTGGGGAAATTACTTGTACTTTTACAGGTATATATATTTTGTAGTAACCTTAAAATATATGAATATATGAATACTGAATCATTTTTGTATTTCCAGAATCCAAAGCAAATGGTGCAAGAGGGAGCTTTGACTGCTTTGGCATCTGTTGCTGACTCATCTCAGGTATTATTCATCTTCATTTTCTCTTATTAACTTGTTTATTTTCTTTAAATTGGTTCTCACATAGTTTATGATTTTACAGGAGCATTTTCAAAAGTATTATGATGCAGTTATGCCATACTTGAAAGCTATACTCATGAATGCAACTGATAAAGCTAATCGTATGCTTCGTGCCAAATCCATGGAGTGTATTAGTTTGGTTGGAATGGCTGTTGGAAAAGATAAGTTCAAAGATGATGCTAAACAGGTATACTTATACTTATATATATATATATATATATATATGTAGTTTACAAATGTTTTTATTTTTTCATCTTGGAAACTTATAATTTATTACATGATTCAAGGTTATGGATGTCCTTATGTCACTTCAAGGTTCCCAATTGGAGACAGATGATCCAACAATAAGCTACATGTTACAAGTATGCTTCTTTTCTTTTTCTGTTATTGAACTTAATCTTGTAAAATAAATTCATTTTGAATTAAAGATTATAAATTTATAATTATACATTGTTGTTGTAGGCATGGGCAAGACTCTGCAAGTGTCTAGGGCAAGATTTTCTCCCTTACATGAATGTTGTGATGCCACCATTGCTTCATTCTGCTCAACTTAAACCAGATGTTACAATTACTTCTGCTGATGATTCAGATGATGATATTGATGAGTCTGATGATGAAAGGTGTGAATGAGAGTTAATGACCATTTTACCCTTTGTTTAGAAATGATGATGAGTAACAACTAATGAATGGCTTTTGATATTGCAGCATTGAGACTATTACACTTGGAGATAAGAGAATAGGGATCAAAACTAGTGTTCTTGAGGAGAAAGCTACAGCATGCAACATGCTATGTTGCTATGCTGATGAATTAAAAGAAGGGTTTTTCCCATGGATTGATCAGGTGAAGTTAAATACCTCTTTTACCCTTTCTTGTCATTTTACATTTTGGCTTAACTTTTTAATAAAAACCAATGCAGGTTGCACCAACATTAGTACCACTTCTTAAATTCTATTTCCATGAGGAAGTTAGGAAGGCTGCAGTTTCAGGTGAAATGAAATACCTCTTTTTACCCCTGATAACTTAATGTTAATTTTAACTGTTATTTTTTTTTTTTTGCTTTCTGAGTGTTGACTTTTTCTTTGACTTTTTAGCTATGCCTGAGCTTATTCGATCAGCAAAACTAGCTGTTGAAAAGGGGCAATCTCAGGGTCGCAATGAGTCATATGTAAAACAGCTGTCAGACTATATCATACCAGCTTTAGTAGAGGCTCTTCACAAGGTTATTTTTGTCATTCTCCCTATTTGTTGACTTCCGTTTGTTCATATAACAAGATTATGAATCTTTATTTACTGAATTTTGGTTTTTAGGAACCTGAGACTGAGATTTGCTCGAGTATGATTGATTCAATCAAGGAGTGTGTACAAATCTGTGGGCCCCTTTTAGATGAAAATCAAGTTAGAAGCATTGTTGAAGAGATCAAACAGGTGATCACCGCCAGCTCAGCAAGAAGAAATGAAAGGGGTGAAAGAGTCAAAGCAGAGGACTTTGATGCAGAAGAAGGGGAAATGTTGAAAGAAGAAAACGAGCAAGAGGAAGAACTTTTTGATCAAGTATATGCTCTTATATTATATAATCTATTTTATTTTTTTATAAATCTGTTTATGTTAATAAATTATTCTAAATATATTTTCTTTTTTGTTAAATCTAGATTGGTGATTGTTTGGGTACTCTACTCAAGACTTTCAAGGCCCCATTTCTGCCTCTTTTTGATGAACTTTTGCCTTACTTGATGCCATTCTGGGTGATTATTGAGTAACATTAATTATATTTTTTTAAATAATTATTTTTTTTAGTTGAAATACTAACAATAAGCATTTTATATTTAGGGCAAGGATAGGACCTCAGAGGAGAAGAGAATAGCTATTTGCATATTTGATGACGTGGCAGAGCATTGTGGAGATGCAGCTCTAAAGTAAAAGCTTTTTTCATTCTTTTGTTACTTTAGTATCATTATTTAAAAAAAAAAATTATAATTTTTATATCTTGTTACAGATATTATGAAGCTTTTCTACCATTGGTGTTGGAGGCATGCAATGACACAAGCACAGATGTTCGCCAGGTCAGCATAATTTAATATCAAACTATTATCATTTTATTTTTTTATTTAATTCTAAATAAATATAATCGGGTGGGTTTCAGGCTGCAGTTTATGGTGTTGGAATTTGTGCAGAGTTTGGTGGAGCTGCATTCAGACCTTTTGTTAATGGTAGGGTTTTATTTTCTATAATAATGAAAAATAAAAATAAAAATAAATAATAAACAAAATTAATGAAAGTAAGTTGCTATTTTTTTTTCAGAGGCTCTTTCAAGATTAGATGGTGTGATAAGAAGGCCAGATGCATTACATGCAGATAATGTAATGGCATATGACAATGCAGTTTCAGCTCTTGGCAAAATATGCCAATTCCATCGTGATTCCATCAATGCTGCTCAGGTACTTTTTTACAAAATTTACATTTTTAGTACCTCAGTTTGGCTAATATTTGCAATTTTGGTCCAAAAATTGTCAGATTGTTCCAGCATGGCTAAACTGCTTGCCACTAAAAGGCGATTTAATCGAGGCGAAAGTGGTCCACAATCAGCTTTGCTCAATGGTGGAAAGGTCTGATGGGGAATTATTAGGCCTTAACCATCAGTATCTTCCGAAAATAGTCTCCGTCTTTGCAGATGTACGCTTTTAGTCCCTCGACTTTGTTCTTTCTTTCTCATTTCATATTTTTAAATTTTTTTTTTCTGGTGTTAGGTTTTATCTGCTGGGAAAGATTTGGCATCTGAAGAAACGGTTGGGCGAATGATTAATCTGTTAAGAACACTTCCACCTTCTGCTTTGGCTTCAACTTTTTCGTCTTTACAACCTCAACAACAGCTTGCTCTTCAATCTGTTCTTTCATCTTAAGTCTTAAATAAAAGGTTTTTGTATGATTTTGGTAAGTGTGCATTATTTGTTTTTTTTTTTTATTTATGATTCATTTTTGCATGCATTTGGTGTTGAAAGTGAGAGAAATAGGTCTAGGGAATGAATTTTGCATATATCGATACTACAATCGTTTTTGTTTATTTTGTCATGAGAGAGATAAAAGTTTTGTATTGGTTTTGCATATTGAGATTGAGATTGTGACTTATATTTAAGGATTTTGAAATTTTGTGGTTGTTGGTGAATTTTGGTGGTTTTATATTGTTTTGATCGTTGATGTGATGTTGCCCTTTAAAAAATATATAATAAGTGAATAGTTTGTGTTTATATATAAATCCATGAATATGTATATAGTAGGAATAGTGTCGTTTTCCACACAACGGCATAAAACCAACATTTAAATAATAAAAAAGGTTCGAGTCATTTTGTTTTATATACTGATTTGAAATAGTATATTATTCCCACTTGTGATTAATTTTTAAACATAATTATGTTGGCGTAATCTTAAAAAGGCATGTTAACCACTTCTGACGCTGTAATATTAAAGATCATACTTGTTAGGTATTAACAAAAAAACCCATTGGATTGTTCCTTTTTTTCTCCTTTAACTTAAAAGATCATTTAATTTTAATGGTGGTTTCATTATGGTTGGCAGGGTATACAACATCTGAATAATCTCTTAAATCAAATAGAACCAATCCACAAAGTTTAAATTTTTTTTTAGTACTTCACAAGAAAGACCACACATTGGGTCATTTATATATGGCCTTAACCTTTATTTTCTCGGATTTAACAAAGTGATGAAATGTTTACAAAAAATAAGCTCGCAAGTTACGAGATAAGACGAAAAGGCCCACAAATCACCACATCAAAAGTTCACCCTTGTTGCACTTAGGTTGTTTTTTGTCCCCATCATCGTGAAAAATGAGCAAACTTCATCTTATTTTTTACAATTGTGGATTATAAATGCTCCTGTGTTGCAAGTAAAAATCATTAATTCTTCATTTTTGTATAGATGTAACATTTGTAAATGTTTCAAGAACATTATGGCGAATATGGTTTACATTTTAGGTTATTTTGTCTTGTTATTGTAGTTCTATAAGCATACATTATTATTTTCCATATTGAAATTGAAGTAGTGTTAATAGAACAATTATCAACATGAATTATGAACACACTCGTGAGTGCGAGCATATAAGGCAACATGTCCGCAAATGGTGCAAATTCTCGGAATGTTTTTTTTATGAGTAAATTACACGAATGGTCCCTATGGTTTGGGGTAATTTGCGCGTTTAGTCCCTAATTTATTTTTTTTAACTCGGAAAGTCCCTACTGTTTGTTTTTGTTACGTGTTTGGTCTCTGTCTTACCTAAAAATACTATTATTTAAATAAGAAAAAATGGTGGGGTAGGTAAGACAATGTGAGAGGGTGGGGTTGGGGGTGTGTTTATTTAAATAAATTAAAAAATCAAGGGCAAAATAGTTTTTTTTAGGTAAGACAGGGACCAAATGTGTAACAAAAACAAACAGTAGGGACCTTCCGAGTTAAAAAAATAAGTTAGGGACCAAACACGCAAATTACCCTAAACCATAGGGACCATTCGTGTAATTTACTCTTTTTTTTATTGCAAGTGTTTGATATTATTTGCGTAGTTGTAACTATATATTTTCATGAGTTTGTGGTTGTATTCTCACTAGTATTTCAATACCTAGTTATATTCTTTAAAATATCATTTGAACTAGGGTTATTACCCAACCCTATTATCCATCAAAGACAAGGTGCACTTTATAGACAAAATAAAGGAGATGCTGTCTCATTCTCTAGCTTGTATGTCCCTATTTATGGCTTCATGTTTTGGGTCCCTGTTAGAACTTCGAAACACGAATAGACATCTACTAAGAACCCATACAATGCAACCAAAAGGGTCCTATCCCAACATGTGTTACCATCTTCCTTGAGGTTGATGGTTCCAGTTTGAAATATATATGGATTCAAGAGTAGAACAAATTTGCCGTTCAAAACAAAGAACCCATGCAAATACTCATTTCAATGGGCAGATATGGATGTTATTATCGAGTTTAAGGGCCGATGCTTCCCTATGTTGGCTCCTTCTGATTCCTTGCATATTAGTCAGTTACTTGGATCCTTTTTGTTCCTTACGATTTGGATGCATGGAACATTTATTATTTTCATAAAACAATTTTTTTTTTTATTTTACGATAAATTTTTTTATTATAATGATTTTTTTTTTGTTTAGGTACCTATGGGGAATATTTATATAAAAATTTACATACAGTCATATGCGTTCAGAAGTTGGTAGACCGGAGGCTATGAAAGACACACTGACGAGAAGAAGTACGAAAATGAAAATGAAACAATCCAAAACGAAAGACAAGGAAAACTAACTTCAAATTATTCTTAAATCTTCATTATAATGGTAATTGGTTGGTTGATGTTTATCACTATATGACTTTATATATTTGGATATGGGAGATGTTTTACAAAATAATTATTGAGTTCGCAAGACCGACTAACCTAAGTCATCCTAAGGGTCCTTTGGTGGAAATGTTATCCCGATTTTCATGTATGCACCTTATACATCCATATGAGGTAATTTCGATATTGACATTAATTTCTAATCACAAAATATTACCTTCGTTTATTAGGATGTTACTAAACATCCACGACTGCAACTTACACCAAACAAAGGTGAACTGTCTTTTCAATGCCAAATAAGGACCAAATAGAAGTCCCCTTGACCTCATCTATACATAAGAAGATGCTTATCCCTCACTAGTCATGGTACATATGAGGTAAGCATGACAATGATAAAGACGATAGTACATGGATTGCAAACCATTCGGATCAAGCTTTTAGACAACATTATGCGACTTAGTAAAGAAATATACGAGGTCTTTATACAGATTAGATAGGAACCGAGTCTTATGAGAGCTTCGAGTAACACTGAGGATGACATCGATCTAATATGCCACGAGGATGGATAATTATGACCATATGCACTCGCGAGACAAATTTGTTGGTTATGTTAGTTGGATAAATAATTCCATGAGCATCATCAACAAATTGATATCAATTCTTAATCACAAAATATTATCTTAATTATTTACATATTAGGTTTTGGCTCTTGTATTCATATGTATCCACTTGAGTCAACTACTCCAAAATTCTATTTGTCCTAGAAACCCGGCTCAATTTTCTCAAATAAAAAAACAAATAAAAGATGCTAAAAGAATATAATGAAGATTAACACTAAGGTAAAACAAGTGAAAACACATCGACTACTTTATTGACCTCTTTCCACGTAACCATGTTTTTCTTTCATCCCTTGGAAAATTGTATTGACGTTTAAGACAAGTCCAAACATAGAATTGAATTTAAAATATTTGTCATTTTCTCTGATTAAACACTTTCTGGTTGAGACTCTAGTATTTGGGGTTATCTAGATGATATCTAATTTGCCTCCACGTGGCAGTATATTAGAGTATCTTCCCTTTTTTCATATCGAAATTTGACCCATTAAACTTCTTTTATCTCCGAAACACCCCCTAATGTTTACCAATAAATGATAACTTCTACATTAAAAGTATACAACAAAATAATTTGGTTATTAATTTATAGAAATTTTAATTTATTTTTCATTATTTGGTAGGCTTAATTTATTTTTACATAAGCCTTGTTACGAATCAAGGCTCAAAAAAATTATACAAATAATAGAAACCAAATGCATGTGACCTTCATTCCAAGCAAATCTCGAGGCCTTCTTTGCTCAAATATGCACCTACAAAGAGTAAAAAAAACATATATAAATACTTTTGAATCTCAAGTGTCTTTTTGTCAAAAACAACATAAATCAGGGTTCAACTTTGTCCAATACAAAATTACAAGGGTAATAATGTAGAAAATACAAAAAGGTTGTGTAAGATTTACAATACTTTACTTCCCATGCATATGCTTGGTCTTATATGACCAAGTCCATGATGGAGGTTAAATTGACATCTTAGCCCTCTTGTTATATCAAACCCATACTCATATCCAAGGGCAAAACCGTCATTTAACCATGTGGATTGTTTACTACAAAAATAGCAACTTGGTCTTTCTAATTAGGAATAATTTGTCTTCTTAGAAAACTAAAAGAATGTTCAACGCTAAAAACAAACACTAAAAACAAACATACCATAGAAACCTCAGAAATCATGTACACACCTATACATACATCCTATATCTATATCCATATATATACACACCAACATAACGTAGGAAAACAAGGACATAGAACTATAGAAGTTAGAACAACACTCTTGAATTCACATTCAAAATTTCTGAAAACTCCAATGGAAATCCAATTCCAACAACAACCAAGAGTGTCGAAACCGAGGGGTAAAAACGGAAGTTCAAACAACAAATTTGTCGGAGTGAGGCAAAGGCCTTCGGGTAGATGGGTGGCTGAGATCAAAGACACAACACAAAAGATCCGAATGTGGTTAGGGACTTTTGAAACCGCAGAAGAAGCAGCTCGAGCATATGATGAAGCCGCTTGTCTTCTTCGTGGCTCCAACACACGCACAAATTTTATCACTCACGTCTCGCATAACTCCCCTATCGCGTCCCGGATCCGTAATTTACTCAACTCAAAGAAAATCGCAAAAAAACAAGATCAAGATTCTTTCGTTCCCTCAGTTTCACATACTGCGTCCACCACTCCCAGTATCAGTATCAGTATCAGCACCAGCACCAGCACCAGCACCAGCACCAACACTAACACCAGTACCAATACCAGTAACAGTACCAGTAGCGGTAACAGTAATAGTGAGAGTAACAGTATCAGTGACAGTAGTAGTCAGAGTAAGTGTAAGTTGTTTGATGATGCGTATAAGCCGGATTTGAGCAAGTGTTGTTCCGGAACGTTTGATAATGCGTGGGGTTATGGAGGAAGGATTGATAATATGGAGTTTAGTGAATTTGAGAGGATGAAAGTGGAAAGACAAATATCGGCTTCGTTGTATGCGATGAATGGGGTTCAAGAGTATATTGAGACTGTGAATGATCCGAATGAAGGAATATGGGATCTTCCTCCTTTATGTTCTTTGTTTTGTTGAAGTTTTTATTTTAGGATTTAATTGTGATTTTTGAAATAACAAGGGAGAGTTTTGAAAATGTGAAATGATGTATGTAGATGTTCTTGCTTCTTGCTAATATGTAAGATTTCAACATAGTTTCATTAGAAATCATTTGAAATATCAAAATATTGATTTCTTCATTTGAATTATATTTTTAAGAATTAAGACATACCTTTTATTCTTCTTCTTCTCCTTCTCCCTGATCCTCTTCAGCATCTTGACCAACTTCCTCATAATCTTTCTCAAGAGCAGCAAGATCTTCACGTGCTTCAGAAAACTCACCTTCTTCCATTCCTTCACCAACATACCAATGCACAAAAGCTCTTTTTGCAAACATGAGGTCAAACTTATGGTCAATCCTATTGAACACCTCAGAAACAGCTGTGTTGTTACTTATCATACACACTGCACGTCTAGTTTTAGCAAGATTCCCTCCAGGCACCACCGTAGGTGGCTGGTAGCTTATCCCACATTTGAAACCAGTCGGACACCTGACAAAAAAATTACCATTTTACCCTTCCATTACCAAACAATTTCCTTCAAGAGATAAAGATACATACCAATCAACAAACTGAACAGTTCGTTTAGTCTTCATGGATCCAACAGAAGTATTAACATCTTTTGGAAGAACATCTCCACGATACATTAAACAACAAGCCATGTATTTCCCATGTCTTGGATCACATTTAGCCATCATACTTGCAGGCTCAAACACAGCATTAGTGATCTCAGAAACAGAGCTTTGTTCATGGAAGGCTCTTGCAGTTGAGATGACAGGGGCATAAGAGGAAAGCATGAAATGGATACGAGGGTATGGGACAAGGTTGGTTTGGAATTCAGTGATGTCAACATTAATGGCTCCATCAAACCTTAAAGAAGTGGTTAAAGATGAGATGACTTGAGAGATTAAACGGTTTAAGTTTCTGTAACTTGGTCTTTCAATGTCTAAAGCCCTCTTGCATATGTCATATATGGCTTCATTGTCTAGAAGTACAACCACATCTGTGTGTTCTAGAAGGGAATGAGTTGATAACACACTGTTAAAAGGCTCAACAACTGCAGTTGACACCTGTAACAAAGTTACAAAAATTGAGAGAGTTGTAACTTAAAAAGCTTATAACTTATAACTTATATATTTTATATATTATATAACCTGTGGAGATGGAAAGATACTGAAACCAAGTTTAGGTTTTTTCCCATATTCTACTGATAAACGTTCTAGAAGCAAAGATCCAAGGCCTGAACCAGTGCCACCTCCAACAGCATTGAAAACCATGAATCCTTGTAAGCCAGTGCAGTTTTCAGCTAATTTTCTCACTCGATCAAGACATGTGTCAACGATTTCTTTTCCCACTGCACATATGAATTGAATGAAATTTAAATATGATTTTGTGATTTTGAAACATCAAACTGTTCATCATTGATTGTGTTACCTGTGTAATGTCCCCTGGCAAAGTTATTAGCTGCATCTTCTTTGCCAGATATGAGTTGTTCAGGATGGAAGAGTTGTCTGTAGCTTCCATTTCTGACTTCATCAATGACAGTGGGTTCTAGATCAACAAATACAGCTCTGGGGACATGTTTTCCAGAGCTGGTTTCACTGAAGAAGGTGCTGAATGAATCGTCTGAAGTGCCTCCTCCACTGCTCTCACTGTATAATTAAGAACTCATGATATGAATGAACCTCTTTTTAGAATAATATGCGTCTCAATTGATTTGAGAAGAAGAGAGAATCTATTAATAATCAAACACATCAAAGAGTACAGTAGTTTGAAGAAATAGGACAACAAGATGTTGAAGGAAACTTGTATTGTATGCATGATCACAAGCCATCATTAGGTTCTAAGATTAACTAAAAGTTATCATAGTATTATACTGTTTAGATGCATATCTTGTAAACTTCTGTTCCATGCAGTAAAGAAGCTGCTGAGATTAAGTGCAAAATTAGGTTTCTTTCAAATTATGATCAAATAAACGAAATTGTTGTATCACAAACACCAAAATCAATTCACTAGATTTGATTTTAGAATTCATAGATCGACCAAAAACCATTAGGAAAATTGAATGCCATATGTGCCATATATAACCATATAATGCGTTTCTGATTGCATCAAGCATTGTTTCTATTTGATGCAAGCCCTAAAATGGATCAAACTTACATTATTCCTATTTGACACAAACCATAAGAACAATCAAATTTGTATAGCTTAGAAAGGTAACGGATTCGAATTTGCTCTTCCATACCTTCATTCAAATCATGAATAAATATCCAAATCCACGATAAAACAACAAATTATAGATGGAAACAAAGAAGCACGAAGAACATGCACATACCCTTGCAGGAACCCATCGTTTTGAATTCCGTGTTCGAGACAATAAAGCTCCCAGCATGCATTGCCGACCTGAATCCCTGCTTGTCCAATGTGTATGCTAACGATTTCTCTCATATTTATGTGCTAAAATGTGATGATTTCTTCTGGAAATCGAATTGAAGAAGAAGAACAACAGATGGAAAATTGATCGAAATAGAAATGTGAAGAGAAAAGAAAAAGAAACTAATCGGGAAAGCGGTTGATACGAGATCCCAGTCGTTGGTTATTTATAGTTGGCGCCAACTTTCTTTGTTTTCCCTGTGCGTTGCACCTCCATTGTCTCTCATGCGTCCTCACCATTCACCAACCAATTTTTTCTAAAATAATTATTTAACAGATTATTTAAAAATTATATATAAAAGAGAAGTAAATAAAGACAGTAAAAGAAAAATATGATAGGCTAATGTTTTAATATATTAAATTATTAATTGTATCTCATATTTTCACCATGTAAAACATCTTTTCCGTACATGATTATTTATTTTATTAAATGGAATGAGTTACGTAGTGACGATAAAAGGATTTTACCATATGAAAAGCTATAATTACTGTAAAAAATGGAAGATGGAAGCATAATAAATATGATTCATAAAACTAGTGAAGATCCTAAGATCATGACAAGTGAAAAAAGAAGGGTTAGTTTGTATTACTTTAAAGATGAGGGTGTTTATCGTAACTTGACTTCCAATATTTTGCTAGAGCGATGATAATGAAGCTCATGGTTGAAATCAACAAACGCCAGATAAGAAGAGCAACCGGAGTCGGCATAAAAATGGGTGGTTTGAAAGCGGTGGCAGTCATCACCGGCGGCGAAAACTCCGTCAAAGGGTCTCTTCAGTTCTTCCAGGAAGCCAATGGTCTCTCATCTCTAGTACCACTGTTTGTGTCTGTGAGTTTTTGTATTGAAATTTGAGGGTTTGTTCTTCGAGCACCCAGTTTTCATTTTCGATTAACGAAAAACTATCAGGAAAAAGCTCTGTCAGTTGTTATATTTCTCTACTTCTGTGATTTTGCAGTTCAATTGCTACACTGTTTTCCATGGATTTCGCTCAATGATTTTGTGTGTTTGAAAAACAGGGGTAACTCATGTGAGTGGTAAGATAACAGGGCTCAAACCAGGTCTTCATGGATTCCATATTCATGCTCTTGGTGATACCACTAATGGCTGCATCTCCACAGGTACTCCTTATATCCACAGCACTCCGTTTTTTTTGGCATCGAGAGTTTAAATTTTCAGTTCTAAATTATGAATTTGACCTAGGTTTTTTGAAATCTGATCACTTGATTTTGTTTACTTTTGTGATCATACTCCAAATTATGGTTAGATAGGTGATTGTGATGTGCGATTTTCTTACCTTTTTCATGTGTGATTTTGATATAAAATTAGGACCTCATTTCAATCCATTAAAGAATGATCATGGAGCTCCTCAAGATGATGTACGCCATGCAGGCGATTTGGGTAACATTGTTGCTGGTGAAGACGGTTTGTGCTCTTTGACCCATAAAACCATCAAATTTAGGCTCTGTAACATTTTGGCTATGGGAGAAATTATAATGGGAACCCTAAACATGGAAGATCCATGATAAAAAATGAAGAAAACAATCTAATGATGTTTTCTACTTCCCAATTAACAATTCTTTATTCATTTTGCAGGAGTTGCTAATGTATCAATTGAGGATAAACATGTATGCATCTTATAACTCACATGTAGCTAGTTTTGCAATCTTTAATGGGGAAGATTGAAGATATCTTGATTAAGGAGATAATCAGATTGTTTATTTCTCACACAAACCAAATCCCAATATTATTATAACAGATTTGCATCAAAGTCACTTTTTTTTATTGCTTTATCCTTTGAAATGTTGTATAGATTCCACTAAGTGGGCAGCATTCCATTCTGGGGAGGGCAGTTGTTATTCATGCTGATCCTGATGATCTTGGAAGAGGTAAAAACTTTTAGTTCATGACATCATCTTAGAAATCATTTAAGCTATTGATCATCATTTCAAGGGCATTCTTGGAATTTTGACTGATAGTTATTCAGTAATAAGTTGTGGTTTTTTGTGTGATAGGTGGACATGAACTTAGCAAGACAACCGGTAATGCTGGTGCTAGAGTTGGTTGTGGTAATTATTTGCATCTTTCTCCCTTCAACAATACTAAAAATTCTAAGAATGGGTCCTTTATACTTTGTACAATATGCATAATCAATGTTATGAGAAAAGTAAAGTTTTTTGCATCCTTCTTTAACAGGTGTTATTGGGCTTCAATCTTCTGTGTAAACTAAGCTAAGAGGCAGGCTCCTTTATACTTTGTACAATATGCATATACTTGTTAATCATGTTATGAGATCCAGAAATTGAACTAAAGAAGCATGTTTGCTATTCTTTAATCCTTAATATGTGTTTGTTCTTATAATAGGAGTACTGGAGTAGGAAGAATCCTAAAACCATGGTGGATATAGATAGAGTAATCAATTTTTATGTACTCTTTCCATGGCTAATATATTCAAAATGAATCGGGGAGAGTTAATCCAATGGTGTGTTATACCTTTCTTTTTATGATTTTAGAAAACAATTTATTAATTTTTTGATGTTTTTTTTAATATATTATTTAATGTTTTAATTTAATATTTTCAAAAAAAGAATAGTTTTAAACATTCAAACACATTTATCAATAAAAAACATAGATTTTGATAAGAATACAAATAATTAATTGACCGTACATAATCAAAGCATTCAATACAACTGTATCAGGGATACAATCAAAATGAAAATGGTTTATGTATATATTCTGTTTCTTTTTCATACGGAGAAGCTCATTTATATGTAAAGTCATACTTGAAAAAAATTGCTTGATTTTTTTTTTCTTTTTTGCTTTTAGATTCAAGTTGCAGATTTTTTAAATTTGTTCAATAGGTTAAAAAACATCAAGATCTACTGATCATTGGTTCGTGCAATAGGTTAAAAACCTCAAGATTTGCAAAGGTGACGATGGTGTTGAACATGAGATTATTTTGAGGTTTTTAATCTATTGAACAAACCAATAAAAAAAGAGGCAGCACACTACACCGTCATCATCATATCCAACACATCGTCGCTGCCTTTTTTATTGTTGACTTTAATTATATATAAAAGAAGAGGCAGCGACAGTGTGGCGGGTGTGATGACGATAATGTAGTGTGCTAAAACGAGAGAGAGAGAGAGAGAGAGAGAGAGAGAGAGAGAGAGGTTGGGGGGGGGGGGGGGGGAGGGAGAATTGACTTACATGCCAAGCAAGCATGCTGTGTGTGTTATCTGGGATATAATTGAGAGTGGATAATCAATTTGAGAAAGTGGAGTAACGGGTATATGAATGTTACTGGATGATGACTACGTGGAATGGAATGTATAAGAGGAAAGTAGATCCAAGAGAAGTTATTGGATATGTGGCCAAAATACCATGCCCAACAAAACTCATACAATCAACAAAATAACATGGTGGGGTGGGGGTGGACACGTGGTTATGGACATATAGGTGTCGGGGTTGGTAGGAGTATGTATGTAGGGTGAGGGTGCACATGTAGTTATAGACATATATGTGTCGGGGTTGGTGGGAGTATGGGTGTAGGGTTAACGTGGGCATCGACGCCAAATATGCTTGTTAGTGTTGGCATAAATGTATACATGTGTGTGTACTTGTAGGAGTGGGCGTGAATGTATGGTGGGTATCATTATAGGGTTGGTTGTATGAGTGTGGATATAGGGTGGGGATGGGTGTATAGGTGTAGGAGGATGGGGGTTGTGTGGTGTACGTGTGGGGGTATGGGTATGAGAGTGGGGTAGGGTTTGGGGTGGGCATAGGCTTGTGTGTGTGTGGGATGTGGAAGAGATGATGATAATATGCTTTAATTTGATGAATAATGCCTACAATAAAGATGACGCGGGAGGTTATTTTTGTCTTTATAGAAAACATAAGAAATGATATATAAAATCTTGGCCTTTAACCAAAGAATGAACAATTTCTTCAGATACATAATTTAGTGGAATCTAAAGAAATTCAACTCCTTAGATTTTGTCAACCAAACGAAAATTTTACTGGAATTTATATTCACATTCCTCCAAATTGTTTCGAAATCGGTGAACATTACACACCTTAATGGATGTTGGGTTCAAGTTTTATAAGGCTATGGAGTGTACGTATAACATCATAACATAAAAAGTTTTGTAATTTCCGCATCACTTTCCTACCACTTACACTAGGAAATACGTACCACTCCACCACTCCAAAATGTTGATCATATTGTGCAAACCCCATAAGGGTAGTGTTTAGACTGTAAGTATTTTCATATGTAGATGTGTTTAGGTTTTGGTTGGATGGTAGTGTATTTGGGGTTTATTTTTTTTTAAATGAAAGTAAGAACATTGAGAATGCAAAGTGTTGCTTAAAATTGTTATATATAAAGCTTTGCGATTAAGTTTGCATTTATAGATATATTGGTTATAAAAAAAATTAAACCCAACGATCATTCCAACAATAACTTTGCCACATCACCCTTGTTAGACGTCGTTTGCAACATCCCAAAAATGCGGTCCAAAAAAATTTCATTTTTATTTTATATATAAAACCATAGCAACTCAAATCATCTCAGAAAACATAAGTGATAGTATCTCGAAACATCATATCAAAACACTATATCAAAATAACATGTCCAAATATCAGAGTAAATCATCCCAGACTAAATGTTGTGGTATGTGCAATGCAGTCATCCCGAGCTCTTCCCCTTACTAGCGGAAGTACCTGAAACCAAAACTGAAAATTGTAATAACGAAGCTTAGTGAGCCTCCCCAAACTACCACATACCATACATATAATCACACAATCACATAACATAACATTGGGCCTCGCCCGCTACATCGGGCCCCGCCCGGCATCGGACCGAAGTCTGGCATCGGCCCTGCCGGCATCGGACCGAAGTTCGGCATCATGCCCCGCCCGACATCGAGCAAAGCTCGGTATACATATCAACATATCAACAATACACATAATAAGCACGTAACATAAACATATAAACATTACTCGGGCCCCGCCCGGCAACAGACCAAAATCCGGAAACATATAAAATAGCATATAAACATTCCTCGGGCTTTCCACGGCATCGGACCGAAGTCCAGAACATATAAACAAGCACATGCAAGAATCACGAAGACATCAAGCATACAAACATTCCTCGGGCTTTCCTCGACATTGGACCGAAGTCCGGAAGCATATAAACACATAAACCTACATCGAGCACTGCCCGACATCGTACCATAGTCCGACACATGCTAACATACATAAACGGGCCGACATTGGTGCCTTAGACCCGTTCCTAGGAGGAAACCCACCTTAAATGTCGAGTAAAGTAGCTGAACGTCTCTGCTCCTGCAACCGGCTCTACTCACGCCCTATACAAAATAACCCCCCCTTAGATACCATTCCTTACATCAAGACCCCTTCACAGGTCAACCTTGGTCAAAGTCAAGGTCCAAGTCAAAGTCAACGCTCAGTCAAGTCAAAGTCAACACTCTGAGTTGACTCAACTCATCGAGTCATTCCCTTGACTCGCCGAGTTCCCTTGCTACTCGTAGTCGTGATAACGCGAGTCAATTCGTCGAGTCCCTCCTCAGACTCGTCGAGTTCTACCCTATTCGGTATTGGGACAAATCGACTCAACTCGTCGAGTTCCTCTATGGACTCGACGAGTTCCTCAGTCTGTTTGGGCCATCATAGCGGATTAAGCCCCTACTCTTCAGATCTAAGCTTCATGCTTCTCATATACACTGAAAATGCCCTTTTAAGGGTAAAGTTTCCAACTTTACCTGTTAATACCTTTGCTTAATGGGTTTAGCTCAAACCCTAAATCTTTAGGACCTAGATCTTGGTCCACAAGCCATCCATACTCCAAACTAAAGCATACAAACATAGATCTAGACCCTAAACACTACATGAACACGTAAAGCTTCCACCTTTCACTCCATGCATGGCCTTTTGGAGCTTAAAACGCCAAAATGACATCCTATAACTTGCATGGGGCTTCAATGGCCATAAAGTTTGCACCTTTATGCCATGAAAGCCCTCCATGATTCCAGATCTGATGATATACTCACTTGGGACGTCCATAACCCAAAGATCAAGCTTCTTGGACCAAAAAACCCCCCATAGATAATAATAAAGAGATCTAAGAAGTTACTAAGCAAGTTTGAGACTTTCTTACCAGAAAATGATGAGAATGAAAAGGAGTCTCTGGATCTACTAGCTTCCTCTTGAATCCTTTAGCTTATTCTTTCTTCCTCAAGCTTCAAACACACACAACTTCACTCAAAGATGACTCAAGCTCACAATTGCATTAGGGTTTCTGGATCTAGGGTTTGGGACTTGGAGGTTGTAAATGAGGCTGGCATAAAGGGATTAAGATACTTAAATAGGGTGCAAAACCCTGAAATTAGGGTTTCATTCTGGCATCCCTACTCGTCGAGTTGAGGCTTCCACCTATTCGAGTAGACTTCAAAACCTGCGTCAAAATCCAATCCCTACCCGACGAGTTTGGGGCCTCCAACTCGTCGAGTTCCTACATAAAAATGAATAAATTAATAATTTAGATGCGTACCAGGAACCAGGCGTTACAATTCTCCCCCACTTGTCTTAGACTTCATCCTCGAAGTTTGTTGCCTCGAATAACTCTGGGTAGTGCTCCGTCATCTCCTCCTCTGGCTCCCAAGTCCACTCCGAGCCCTTACGGTGCTGCCACTGCACCTTCACTAACTGAACACCTTGTTCCTCAAGGTTTTCGTCTTGCGATCCAGAATCGCCACAGACCTCTTAATGTAGTTCAGACTGTCGTCAACCTGGATATTCTCTAAAGGCACAATCGCTGAATCATCCACTAAGCACTTCCGCAGCTGGGAAACATGAAAAGTGCTATGGATCTGGCTGAGCTCCGCTGGAAGATCCAATCGATACGCCACCTTTCCCACCCGGGCTATAACCCTGAAAGGACCGATGTACCTGGGGCCCAACTTCCCCCGCTTCCTGAACCGGATGACACCTTTCCAAGGTGACACCTTCAGGAGAACCATGTCGCCCACCTGAAACTCCAAGTCTAAATGGCGCTTGTCGGCATAACTCTTCTGCCGACTCTGAGCAGTCTGGAGCCTGCTCCGGACCTGCTGGATCCTCTCAGTAGTCTTGAGTACCACCTCAGTACTCCCCATGACCCTCTGTCCGACCTCGCCCCAAACGATTGGGGTCCTATACTTCCTCCCGTAGAGCATCTCGAAGGGAGGTCGGTCTATGTTGGCGTGGTAACTGTTGTTATATGAAAATTTGGCTAACGGAAGATACGTATCCCAACTGCCACCGAAATCCAAAACGCATGCGCGCAACATGTCCTCGAGAGTCTGAATCGTTCTCTCGCTCTGCCCACCTGTCTGAGGGTGGAAAGCGGTGCTGAAGTGGAGACGAGTACCCATCTCGTCGTGAAACCGCTTCCAAAATCTGGAAGTAAAATGGACGTCTCGGTCTGAC